CCCCTCCCCACTCCCCCCAGGGGTTTTGGCGCACACACACACACACACACACACACACACACACACACACACACATGCACCGGGCCTGTTTTTCAAGACACAGGGTCCGGGACACTTAACTGTGCAGTTGGCCTGCTGGGATCCAGCCACCTTAACTACCAGCTGGCCCCAAACTACAATACTTTCAATACTGCCTTCCTCCTGTGTGTGAAAGGAACAAAGTTGAAACAACAAAGCAGAGTGTTGATTCTGTTTTGTATACTATGCCCACAGGGGGGGAAAAAACAAACTTAAAATGGGGAATAGCATGTTTGCAATGAAAACGTCTATTTGATACTTGACTTGTAAGAAAAAGAAATTGAGTGTTCTGTAAAGAACTTTGGAATTATTTTACTGATTCTGGAATTGTGGAACTGTCCAAGAAAAGGGAATATTCTGTTTCGCCTTATGTTCCTAAATCTTTCCTCTTTAATTCCAAGAAGGATTCACTAAATATAAACTGACCTTTCACATCACAATTTTCAGCTAAGAAATGGCAATTCTGTACTTGAATATATTAATTTTTGAAATGAATACTTTGAACCACAAGAGGGAGATGTTGTCAAATGCTAGTTTCTATTGTTTCTTTAACAGGGTAAGATTTTCCACCCTCAGCAGCTGTTCAAACATAAATTTCAGGACTTTGGTAATAAATGTTTACCATGCTTTAATATGAAAGTAAATAAGTCAATGTATGCTTTGTTTGCTTTTCTTAAACTTTTCTGAGAAAGCTGGGTTAGATTTTGTTTCGAATTTTGGAATGCCAGAGCAGAAATTGTTTTTATTCAATTATTGCTTTAAAATTATTTATAGGTGTGTAGCGGTAAGGATGACGGTTATATGCTTTGCAATAAAAGGAATAAGAGCTTTCATCCACTTTTTCCCCTAAGTTGAAAACATACAGTGCTTGATGAAATTGACACACACAGATGTGGGTTTCATTTAGGACAAAACACAACACATTTGAAAACTGGCAACTGAATTTCAACGGGATGATGTATTTTAATAAAACACATCACATGCAATGTATTAACAAATGTAAAATGGGAAACAAATAGGAACATTTGCCCTTTCTGCCAAATCTACCAATAGTGACTTTTATTTTTGTATGGAAAAATGATAGTTCACAGCTTCACTGGTTTCTTCCTTCTCTTTCCATATGGAAATGATTACCTTTTTGCTGTTTTTCTTATCAACTGTTGCTATGCTTTAAAATACTAAACCATATCTTATTTCGAAGGAATGTAAAAAGTGGTCTGCTCAGCTGCTAAAAGGCACACCCCACTGATGCAGTTTGTTAACCTAAGTATACTTGAAAAATAATTAGATCATAATTTTTACAAAATGAAATTAAAGTAATTGTTTACCATCGAAGAGATCCAAATAATGATATAATTTCCCCAACTAAACTAACATTAGTGAAGACCTATAATGGAATTAACTCACCAGGGGTTTAGCTGACTTTGAGGATCCTTGCTAGAAGTTTAAAAAGTCAGCAGTTGAAATCATTTAATATTTGAGAAAAATCAGTGAGGTACCAATAGGGGCAAGTATATCTCTAATTTGGCAGCTAACGGATTAGCAACTGATAGAATCAACGGCAGGCGAATATTACAATTAAACCCTAATTACACAGAGTTTTGGGTTCATTCACTTATGAGAGTTGACCTTTATTTTTGAGAGTTGACTTTTTTTATTAAGTACCCACAGTTCCATTATTTGATATGTGTGGATACATACAGACATATGTTTAAGCTTGTTTTATGTCTGATTCTTATTTAATTTTATTTATTAACTTTATTATCACTTTTTTAATTTGACCAGAGTGAGACACAGAGGGGGAGAGAGAGAGAGGGAAAGTGCAAAAGCAAGCCACCAGGTCCAGGACCCAAACCGCAGCTGGCTATGTGGGAGTGTCAGCGCCTTAACCACCATGCCACCCGCTGTGTCCCTGTGTATTATTCTTTTTTTAAAAAAAGAATTATTTAACTTTATTTATTTTATTTATTCATTTTAATTTGATCAGAGACGGACAGAGTGGGGTTGGTGGAGTGAGAAAGCAAGCTGCTAGGTCCAGTACTCCAACTAAGGTCGGCCATGTGGCAGTCCAGTGCCCTTAACCACCACACTACTACTGATCCCTGTATTATAATTCTTTAGTTTTTTGCTATAGGTGTGAGTACTCACTGTATTCAGAGAGAGAGAGAGAACCTCCCCAGGGCAGGTGGCCATGCTAAAATCTTTTCTCCATTCTACTCTCAAGATTTTGGGCATGCATGTACATATGCCAGTGTGTTTTTCAAGCCGCTAGATCTGGGACTTGAACATGCAGTCAGCCATGTGGGATCCAGCTGCCTTAACTTCCACACCACCTGCTGGCCCAAGCTTGTTTTATATATGTTTACATGGACCTCCCCAGGGCAGGTGGCCATGCTAAAATCTTTTCTCCATTCTACTCTCAAGATTTTGGGCATGCATGTACATATGCCAGTGTGTTTTTCAAGCCGCTAGATCTGGGACTTGAACATGCAGTCAGCCATGTGGGATCCAGCTGCCTTAACTTCCACACCACCTGCTGGCCCAAGCTTGTTTTATATATGTTTACATGGAAGTCATTTTTTTTTTTTTTAAGAGAGATTTTTGCTATAGGGCGCATGTGCTCGCCAGAGAGACAGGAAGTGAGAAATCACCCCCTGGGAGGATGGCCATGGCCATTCCATAATCCCTTCTCCATTCTCCTCTCAAGATTTTGGGCATGCACACATGCACACATGCACATGTGCCTGGTGTGAATTTTAAGCTGCTGGGTCTGAGACTCAAACCACAGTAGACTATGTGGGACTCCAGCAATGTAACCATTAAGCCATTTACTGTTCTCCCCCCCCACCACCCCTTTTTTCCCTTCTGTTTGTAATAACAAGATTTTTGCTCTTGGAATTAATGGTTTTAAGTTTAAAATTGACACAAGGAAGCTGGTGTCAAAGCTTCACTATATGGGGTGGCATTGGAAATATACTTTGGGGGACAACAGATGACATATGTTGCTAGACTTCCACATGGCCAACCATGGTTCAAGTCCTGTACCCAGAGGCTTGAAAATCACACTAGCCACACGTACATGTGTGCCCAAAATCCAGAGAGGAAAATGGAGAAGGGATTATGGCGTGGCTATGCCTCCTGGGGAGGTGATTTCTCACTTTGTCTCTCTCTCTGGCAAGTACACTTGCTCTATGGGAGAAAAATGTTATTATTTTTTTTTTTTGGAGAGGTTTTTGCTATAGAGCACATGTACTCACCAGAAAGACAGAGAGAGACAGAAAGCCAGAAATCACCACCTAGGAGGATGGCCATGCTGTAATCCCTTCTCCATTCTCTTCTCGGGATCTTGGGCACACACACGCACCCGGTGTGATTTTAAGCCCTGGGTCTAGGACTCGAACTGCAGTTGACTACATGGGAGTCCAGTGACATAGCCATTATGCCAATTGCTGGTCCCCAATAAATAATTCTTTAAAAAAAAAAAAAAAGGAAATGATTTTGATTTGTGTAGAGAAGATGGCCAGTCAGCCAGGATATTAGAATAATTAATTCCAGGGCCAACAGGTGGAATAGTGGTTAAGGTGCTGGACTCCCACATGGTCAATCATGGTTCAAGTCCTAGACCTAGTGGCTTGAAACTCATGCTGGGTACATGTGCGTGAGTGACCTCAATTCCAAGAGGAGAAGGGATTGTGGTATGGCCATCTCCCCTGGGGGTGATTTCTTGCTTTCTGTCTGTCTGTCTCTCTGGCAAGCACATATGCCCTATAGCAAAAAATCTCTCAATAAAAAAGAAGGAATTCTTGGGAATATAGATTCAGAAAACTTGAAAGTGTTAATTTCTTAGATTAGTGGGTAAATAAAAGTTAAATAAAGTAATTCTCTTTTTTTTCTTTTTTTGAGAGGTTTTTGCTATAGGGCGCATGCACTCACCAGAAACTCAGAGAGAGGTAGAGAGACAAAAAGCAAGAAATTACTCCCCTAGGAGGGATGGCCACACTACAATCCCTTCTCCATTCTCCTCCTGGGATCCTAGGCATGCACGCATACATGCCCAGCATGAGTTTAAGCCACAAGGTCCAGAACTCGAACCACAGTCGACCACATGGGAGTCCAGAGACATAGCCATTATGCCAACTGCTGGTCCCAAGAAATTCTTTAAACAAATAATAATTTTAAAAGAGGGGGAGTGCTGGCAGGTGGCGTGATAGGCACAGAACTCCCACATGGCCAATAGTGGTTTGAGGTCCAGACCTGGTGGCTTGTTTTCTTACTTTCCCTCTCTCTTTCACTCTGTCCCTCTCTGGTCAAATCAAAAAAGTAAATAAAGTTAAATAATTGTTTTTTAAAATAAATATTTAAAAAAACAAAGATGGGTGCCAGCAGATGGCATGGTGGTTAAGGGCATTGGACTTCCACTTGGTCGACCACAGTTCAAGTCCCAGACCTGGCGGCTTGCTTTCTCACTTTCTTTCTCTCTCTGGTCATATTAAAATAAATTAGCAACTAAAGTTAAATAAAGTAATTCTAAATTTTAAAAAAGATTACTGAGTAAATGGGTTGTCAAACATTGTCCTTCAGAGCCAGGATGCATCCCTATGGACACTTGAGTACAGTGTTAATTCAAACTGCTTCTTTTTTGAGCTTTTCCCCTCTTATGTTTCTCCTACATGTATTTTGCTTAAAGGCTCTTTAAGCTGTACACCTTTTTTTCTTCCAGGTCTCCCCCAAGCCTATTCAATCTACAAGATCTTTCCCTCTACTTCACCCATCACTTGAAACTTACTAAGTGTACCCTTAATTCACGTTCTCGGGCAATTCATTCATCCAGCTGGTATCTCCCCAGTGCCAAGCATTGAGCAAGATGTCAAGGATGTAGGGATCAATACCACAAAATCTAAATGAAGAAGCTTACAGTGTAGTGTTTCTTTGGATGTCTGTGCTACAATTCCAGTTTCCTGATTATTGCTTATTATCTTGCTATGTACATAATCACCTTTTTTTTTTTTTACAGGAGAGAATGTTGTCCATGCAAGAATGATGACCTGGGAGCCCCTCTGGGCTTTAAACACTGAACTGTGTCCTCGCTGACTCCGTGCGCTCTGTAGACTTGACTTTGCAGTGTATATACCAGCGATTCTTTTCCTGACCACCATGTTTATCACACTTGATTTCCTGTCCAAAATTTTGTTTTAAAACAGGCTCCATATGTCCTGTCCCACCATTCTCTCCCCATGAGTGCAAGGTTTGGCAGTCAGCTCTTTCTGTGATGCCAACAATGTACCAAATGTGGCTCTACTCAGCAGCTTGTCATCTTGGGCAATCATTTATTTTCATTTAAAACATATTTGCTTATCTGTATCAATCCCATTGTTTCCTATGAGTTTCAGGGATGTGAGCTTTTATATTTTTAACTAACTTCCTAGTCTTATACCCTAATATGTCTCAGATGATGCAATGCAGCCTTCTTAATATCAATAGATAGAATCCCATTTCCGCTAGTACAAATGCTTGCACAAAGAGTTAAGATAAACAATGGAACTATGTCCCCATTTCTGGGAAACACAGTGGTGTGTCACTGTAGGAGAAAACATTTCATTCAAACTATAGAAAAGGAAAAGTTTTAATCATTTAGACTCTAGGGAGCCAATGAAGCAGGAAGAGATGAAAAGTAAGGCCAGGGGAACTGATACTGCCCCCAAAGCACTGCTAACTTTGTTGAAAAGAATTTATTATTATTATGTTAATTTATTTTCAGAATCTGTTATAGGACATGGGCGCTCACCAGAGAGAAGCAGAGAAAGTGAGAAAGCAAGCCATCAGGTCTGGAACTTGAACCATGGTCTGCCATGTGAGAGTCCAGCACTTTATCATCATGTCACCTGCTGTCCCCAGTGCTAACAACTTTTAGGTATTCAAAACAGGCTTGATGGTTTTTGAATTATAAACTTTACCTAATGATAAAATATCTTACCTAATGATAAAATATCTAAAAATAGGGCTAACCCATGGCCTTCTAGTGAAGAGAGCTGGAACTCACATGGCAAATCGTATGGTTCGAGTCCTGAACCCAGTGGCTTTAAAGACATGCCAGGTACATGTGTATGCATGCCCCAAATCCTGACGAGAGGGAGAAATGGCAGAGAGGGGACTGCTGTATGACCTCCCTCCTTGGGAGGTGATTTCGCTTCGCCCTATCTCTATCAGGCAAGTGCATGCACACTCTAGCAAGTTCAAAAATACAGAAATACTGAAGAATATTTTACAAGAACAGTTTAAAAAGAAAGAGTGGGTGAAATTATATACTGCTTAGTGAATAATTCAGTTTTATGTGAATTTATCTCCTTGGTCAATGAGGGAGCACCAATATAGTGGATGCTTTTGTAGCTCTCTTAGCTGATTTGTATCAATTATTTATGGGGTGAATACACAAAAATTCAAAGATTCTGTACCCCTATTCTACAATAAGGTAGCTATTGACTATGTATGGCTACTGCTTTTAAGTGTAAAATGCACAGCAGATTTCAAAGACAATGTGAATGAAAGAATGTAAAAATTACTATATTAAAACTGTGTTATACTATTTGGGACCTCTTGGGAACCAGCAATTAGCGATGGCTATGTCGCTGGACTCCCATGTAGTCGACCGTGGTTCGTGTCCCGGACCCGGTGGCTTAAAACTCACGCCGGGCGCGTGTGCGTGCATGCCCAAGATCCCGAGAGGAGAATGGAGGAGAAAGGATTGCGGCGTGACCATCCCCCCTGGGGGGTGATTTCTCGCTTTCTGTCTCTATGTCTCTCTCTGTCTGTCTGGCGAACCCACACACCCTACAGTGAAAATCTCTCAAAAAACAACAAAAAACAAACAAACAAAAAAAACTATTTGGGACCTCTTAGGTTACATAAAATACTCAGGGCTAGCCCATGGCATGGTGGTTAAGGAACTGAATTCACCTGAGTGTTCTAGTCCTGGGCCTGGCAACTTGAGAAACATGCCAGGCTCATGTGCACGTGTGCCCCAAATCTCAAAAGTAGAGAGAAATGGAGAAGAAGGTTTGCAGCGTGACCATCCCCTGTGGGGGGTGCTTTCTTACTTTTCCTCTCACTGTGTCTTTTTCTTTCTGGTGAGTGCATGTGCCCTCTGACATATTTAAAAAAAAAAATTCAAATTAATTTCACATATTTCTTTTTACTTTTTAAAATGTAGCTAGTGAAAAATTTGGGGATTGGCCCTATAGTCTAATGGTTAAGGAAACCAGATCCTGTTTTCCTTAACAGCTGATCTCACACTTCAAATCTTGGTCCTGGAGGGGTGAAAAACACTGAATGTGTGCATGTGCATGCCCACCCTTCCTTCCCCCCTTCCCCCCCCAGAGAGGTTTTTGCTATAGGGTGCGTGTACTCACCAGAAAGACAGAGACAGAAAACAAAAAATCACCCCCCCCGGGGGGGATGGCCACACCTCAATCCCTTCTCCTCTTCCCCTCGGGATCTTGGGCACACACGCACAACCGCCTGGCGTGAGTTTAAGCCACCAGGTCCAGGACTCAAACCGCGGTCGACTACATGGGAGTCCAGCAACTGCTGGTTATGTCAACTGCTGGTCCCAAATGTACATGCCCACCCTAAATCCTGACAGGAAGGAGAAATGGAGGAAAAAGGATTGGGGCATGACCATGGCCCTTGGGGGTGTTTTCTCTCCTTCATCTCTTTGTCAAGCACAAAGGAAAGGAATGAGCCAGTAGAAGAAAAGGAAGGGCCTTTTTCTTTTTTAAAGAAAGGCTGTTAAAAAAAATGTGGACTCTGGGAAGAGGGCTAGTCCATTCTGGCCTTCGGTGTTCTGGTGGTGATCTTATCCTTCTCAGTGACGTGGACGATGACGCCGATGCCAGGCACTGCGTCCCGGTCTACAGCATTCAGCATGGCCTGGGAGATGGTTTCAAACAGGTGTTCCGGGTCCATGTTGGCCTCCCAGAGGGACTCGCACATCCCGTACATTTGTTCGGAGCAGGTGCCGCTGACCGAAAGTCTTCAGTCACTGTGGGACAGCCGATGAGGCCTAGAGAGCAAATGAAGGGCTTAAAGGTCTTTGGGTCCAGCCAGCAATGACTGGCTCAGTGTAGTAGGGGCCAAACCGTTTCTCATACAGGAGGCTGGCCACCATGCTCATGAGGGTGTAGGGCTTGATCTGCCGGCCCTCCTTCAATTCATACAGGTTCAGCCAGAACTTGAGGTGCTGGGCAACAGGACCTCGGTGGGGAGCCCAGCCAGACCGATGTACAGTCGGTCACCCACGGGAAAGATCTTCTGAAAGTCCGTGGTCACCATCTGCACCTGGATTCCGAAGTGCCTGTCTACAGTGATGGCCACAATTCTTCCCTTTCACGGCCTTGACGGCCCCTCCATTATAGGACATAATAGACATGAGTGCGGTTACTAAGACCCCCAGCTGTTGCTGCAATTCTAGTAAACCGGTTCTGTCTGGAAGGGCCTTTTAAAATTGTTAAATTAGCTACAATTATGGCTTCCAATATGTTTCTATAGAATAGGGCTGTTCTAGGTGTTTTAGGAGCAAAGTCCTGGAAATTGTAGAAATCAGTTGAACAAAGCTTGTCCTCTCTAGGTGAGAGGTCATGGGAACATGATAGTAAGAAACATGACATAGGGTAAAAGTTGGGAGTTTCCTTTTTGGGGAAAAAAAAAAGACCTTTGCTTAAGCTTGACTCACATGATCAGTGTGAAAGAGGCAGGATGTAAGCTTAATTCAACAAACATGCACTGAACACCTGCAAGGAAAGACACTGCTTGAGGGGTGATACACACATGACGTAACCTAGCCCCTGTCCTCAAGGAATTCCCCACTTAGTATATTCTTTGCTGCAAACGTATTCCTGACTTACAGTAGAGACTCCATTACTGAACAGATCAACATAAATGTCGAAAAAAAACCTCTGTAAGACATGTAAAGCTATAAAACCAAGCACACAATGAAGCCCATTAAAGTTCCCGTTATTAGAAACGGATTGAACAGCCGTGAGATGAAACCAAGGACCTAAAATATAATGAAAACCACTTTGTCTCGGGCTGGCCCCACAGTGCAGTGGTTAAGCACGGCATTGGGAGCTGGATCCCACATGGTTGACCACCATTCAGATTCTGCCCTGATGGCTTGGAAAACACACCCTGGGGACCGGCAGGTGGCTTGGTGGTTAAGGGAGCTGGACCCCCACATGGCCGACTATGGTCCCAGACCTGGCGGTTTACTTTTTCACTTTCTCTCTGTTGCTCTGTCTCTCTCTGGTCAAATTAAAGTAAATAAATAAAGTTAAATAAAATAATTCTTTAAAAAAAACATACTGTGTGTGTGTGTGAGTGTGTGTGTGTGTGTGTGCGCGCGTGTGCATGAATGCACCCAAATCCTGACAGGAAAAAGTAGAAGGATTGCAGCGGGACCATGCCCTTTTTTTTTTTTTTTTTTTTTTTTTTTTTTGAGGTTTTTTTTTTGGGCGCGTGCGCTCACCAGACAGAGAGAGACATAGAGACGGAAAGCAAGAAATCACCCCCCAGGGGGGATGGTCATGCCGCAATCCCTTCTCCTCTCGGGATCTTGGGCACGCACGCACACGCGCCCGGCGTGAAATTTAAGCCACCGGGTCCGGGACGCGAACCACGTCGACTACGTGGGAGTCCAGCGACATAGCCATTACACTAACTGCTGGTTCCCAGGACCATGCCCTTTTGAGAGGCGCTTTCTCTTTCTTCTTCTATCTCTGGTGGGGACATATAGCCCTTGTTAATTTTTTTTTAAGAAGTATTTATTTAATTTTGGGGACTGGCAGGTGGTGTGGTGGTTAAAGCACTGGCTACTCCCATATGACCAACCACGGTTTGAGCCCCAGACCTGGGGCTGGCTTTCTCACTTTCCCTCCCTCTGTCTCTGTCTCTTTCTGGTCAAATTAACAAACGAATGAATAAAATTAAATAATTTTTAAAAAGAATATTTAATTTTATTTATTATTACTATTTTTTTTTTAATTTGACCAGAGAGAGAGAGAGAGAGGGAAAGTGAAGAAGTGAACTGCCAGGTCAAACTGTTTCGGCCATGTGAGAGTTCAGTGCCTTAACACCATGCCACCTGCTGACCCTGCCTCTGTTAATTTTTTTAAGAAAAGGGACCAGCAGGTCGTGTGGTGTTTAAGGCACTGGACTTTCACATGGTTGACTGTGGTTCAGGTCTTGGACCCAGCAGCTTGAAAATCATGCCAGGTGTGTGTGCATATGTGCCCAAGATCCTAAGGAAGAGGACGGAGAAGGGTGGCATGGCCATCTCCCCTGGGGTGGTATTTCTCACTTTCTCTCTCACTATCTCTGTCCCTCTCCAGTGAGCACAGGCACTGTATGACAAAATCCTAAAAAAAAAAAAAAAATTAAAATGATTAAAAAAAAATATGTGATCATGCAAGTGTGTGTACATGATAGAAAGAGAAACATCCCCATCAGCGTCTGGTCACACCGCGATCACTTTTCTTCAGCCCTCTAGCTCCTCAGGATTTTGTGTGTACTCAGGCCATTTTAGGTCCACCAGGCCTGGGATTCAAAGTGTAGTTAGCCCTGTGGCTTCCAGCACTGCAGTTCAGCGCACCAAGGGCTGTGCCATTGAGGCTGCGCCCTAAAATAACTGATTTTTGCCATAGGGTGCATGTACTCACTGGAAAGAAACAGAGAAAGTGAGAAATGCCCACCCCGGGCGGGTGTGTGTGGTCATACTGCAGCCTCTTCTCTTGGGATTTTGGGCATACATGCACATGTGCTGGGAGTGATTTTAAAGCCGCTGGGTCTGGGGGTTGAACCATAGTCAGCAATGTGGGAGTTCAGCACGTTAACCACCACGCCACTGCCGGTCCCCCTAAAATGATTTTTACAAGGATATTAACATCTGGAGATGATTTGAGGGATGGAGGAGTGAGTCTAGCAAATCAGGGCGGTAACAGGGAAAGCGGCGCAACACCCGTGTCCTGTGAACTCCCAGGGACGCGGCATGCAGGACGCCTGGGTGCCCTGGGTTCATCCGCGGGGCAGGAGAGCGGAATGGCAGACTCACAGTG